AAGAAAATAATTACAAAATTACCTTATTCAATGCGGGAAATAGCTTATTTATTTTTTAATTTTATGTACCAATAAATTGCATACTAATAAAAAGTACATCTTTAGATTCATAAAATCGGATTTCCTGATTTTTTTAGCTTTATGTACAATAAATTTGTAGAATGAAATATATGTAGGGGCAAGTCTCGTAACGACGGACGGCACCAAGCACCGGACACTCTATTTAACACGTATTATTTAAGCTAGTATAAATCTTTTCATTTCAAAATACAAGTGAAAGGGGCATGGGGGCACACAAGTGAGAGCAACCCTTTCCTGTTTTAGTCACAGAATCACGGCGTCACCTAAATGTCAATGGAAGTAATTCTAGCATATTTATGCATTTACATTTGAGTGGTATGCAAAGATAAAAGTTGTACTTGATTGTTATCCGTAAAATGATAGAATATTATAAAGACACATGTGCAGACATTCCAGAGTGTGGATATAGCTACATATGTGATCAATGCGGGTTATTTTGAAATGTCCGGTACTAGGTGCCACTGTTTAATATCATATTTTTTGATACCAAAGTTTGATTGATAGTATTAATGTTAATTTAGTTTGTTAATTTAGTTTGATGTCTAATTTTGTTATCTACCATAAATCATAATTCAATAAATATTTCGTAAAATATTTTTTTATTTACTTTTAAATAACCTTAGGTTTCCGCCACTAAGGAATTTCCCCCTAACAAATAAAACATATATTGAATTATTTTTCTGTACATGTACAGTCGAAGATTAATTTTGAATATTTTTTTTAAGTTTATTTGTAAAGAGGAGACAAAATTTTCACTTCCAATATTTGAACAAAATATAGAATTTACTACACAGATTTACCAATGAGGAAGATGATAAAATTTTACCATGAATGAATAATCAGTAATGTTCAATCTTTGAGACTTTTAATTTTGATTATACAGTAACTAAACATTACTAGGCTAGACAAGATTCGGGATCTCTGTATCTCTATCTTATTCAAATAAAATGTGTAAATAAAATCAATATAAAGAATTTGAACAAATTATTTGCTCAAAAATTCCATTAGTATATAGAAATAATAATTTATTGGTAAATATTAATACTTATGCATAAATATAAGTATCGGATCTAAAGACTTATATATTATTGAATTTTTGGAGCAATAAGAATAATTTGAAAAGGTAATTTTAAGTGCAATTTTTATGATGTGAAATCGTTAAGCTTTGCTTGTAAGTGAATGTAAGTCTGAAATATCTCTTGGTATTAAAATGTAATGTCCTTGTTAATTTCATATCTTTTTAAATATAATTATATCTTAGTATATTTATAAAAATATGTGCTATAAAATGAAAGAATCAAATTATTAAGTTCGCTTGTGAAAATTATTTAACTCCAGGCAAATAAATTCTAGAGAAATAGATCAGAATTATATTTGCAATCAAAATATTAGTGATTTTATTATTCAACTTATTACAATACTTAATACAATGCGATTTTAAAAAAACTGTATTATATAAAGCATAGTGTATTATTCCTGGTAATTGAAGATGATGGTATAAAAATCATTGTACGTATATCTGCGATCTGATAAATGTACTTGCTCCGACAAATGTTTTATTATTTTTATTTTAAATCATTTTTTGATGTTCTCTCAAGCTGCATATAATGATTATAAAGAAAAACTAATCAAAATTTTAATTATAGAACTTCAAGATTGAAACGTTATTCAATCCACAATTTAACCATGGATCATTTTTATAGAAAATTGTAACAAATCTACTGATGAAAAGTCAAATACATTAATAGATTTTGTGAACTCTTTGAATATTGAATCGTTTGATCGATTTATATGTAAAGTTCCATATATTTGACTCTGAGCCACTGACCTACATATCGTGAATAAATTTTAAGGATGCATATATTTACATGAACTCTGCAAAGAAGTTAAATTATTTTAACTTTAGATCAAAGTGGGAAAAGTATAGGTTATTTGCATGGAAATTTCATAATATATAACTCAATTATGTAATATTAGAACTATAAACAAAAAAATAAATGTATGAGTTAACTATTTATGAAATAAACAATCTTTTCAAATACAAAAATGTGCCTATACAGCAGGACGTGTTTAAAAGTGCATATGTAAACTGCTTTTGATTCAGATAGTAATGAAAACTCATAAGCCTTAAAGAAAAGTACACTGAATAAATGAATTCTAAGAATGAAATGTGATTTATACTTGCATTCCCCATTGAATTAGACAAAATAAAAAATTATATTATTTTCATTTGAGAGATACCATATGGAATTCAGACTAATTAAAGTTATATTGAAGATTATTCAGTTTGAAACATTTTAAAACACAAATTGATCCTCAAATTTAAAAATGCAGCTAATAGATATCAATCTTCAATATGATTAATGATTAATTTTTTGTAAATATCTAGTAGTATGACTAATATGATTCTCTACCATTATAGTTTTAAACCAACCAATTTTTTAGTAAAAAAGAATATTTTTTTCAATTGATTTTCATCAAAAATCAATTGCAGATAGAAGTCAGTCGAACGAATGATAGGATTTGAATATGTGAGGCATCCATCTCTCGTCGAACGTCTACGAGGGATGAGCAAGTCAGAGCAAATCAATCGATATATTATAGTAAAGGATGCCAAAAATCACATGTAAATGACAGCTGAGTGGGCTCGCCTACACAGAGCCCTGTCATATAAATCCATAGAAATTTGTTTAATATCAATCGCATTGTGCAAAGGAATATTCGATTGAATACTCTGGTACAGAGCTCAGATGCTTGAAGATTATAATTCGTATTTCAGAACAATGGATAAGATACCTTATATTATTGTAAATTATGTTGGAATATACAAAAAATCTGAATTTAACTTTATTAATACTTGAAAACTTTTTATAATAATCCAATTTTTCATTATAAATTTATGCCAACTTATTATTATTATGCAAAGTAGGTACTTGAGTATTAATAAATTTGAATGAGAATTATTGTATTTTTCAATACTTTTGTTATTACTAGTTCAAACTTGATAATTTATTGCCCGCTCCATAAATTTAAAAAATTAAATTAAAAGTAAATTAATGAAGGGCAAGTCCAGAGGCGTAATGTTGTACTATAATCTAAATTCTTTTTTTCATGTTTCGATTGTTCAAAGTTTCAAAGAAACTTTGCTTATTGTTAATTTATTATAAATATGCTTGTCTCTCTATATGTCTGATTCATAACTCTATTTATTTATTGTAAATAAAATAATAGAATTTATTATCTCTATTTATTTATTAAATAAAGTAATATAATTATTCCAAGTAACTTAAATTGTAAGTAGATAATACAAACTAGTTTATTTGTAGATTTTTCATTTAGCTTGTCTATTTATTAACATTACAACTTATTTTATATAAGTCGCTTATAACAACAAATTGTTTCTAAATTTTCCCGATATGAAATATGGAAAATTGTATATTTAAGTTAATATACTTATAAATTGCATAAAATCAGTATATTTTATTTCTTTAGACAATAAATTGTCATCTTACAAATAAATATTTTCTTAACTACTCAAAATCTTATAATTCTCTCTCATCTGTAGGGCAAGGTATAGTAATCGCAAAAAAATCGAAAATGAAAATTTTTATATATCTTTACGTTTCAAAACTTTCTGAACATTTTGGCATACCTTAGAAAAAATTGATGCATTTGTGTGTGTGCAGATACAAATTTTCGTCGACGATTTTGGGAACACGGATGAAGCGATTTGAATAATTCAAAAAACATTCGATTCGTATGGATAAGGAGACGTGCTTATTAGTTTTTGGCAAAGGCAGGTGAAAAATTTGTTTACATTCCTATATGTTCCGTACCAATGTTTATCCGTTATACGGTAACGCGGCGCTTACGCGCTTCGATATTTCATCTCTATGCAGTTAAAGATTGCTTTGAAAAAAAGTTCAGAATTTCCAAAATATTTCAGAATAAATTTTGCTTCAAAAAGTTTTTTTTTTCAAAAAAAGTAAATTTTTGTTAAAAATTTACAGTTTCTCAAAAATCTAATTTTTTCAGAGTAAATTTATTTCAAAAACGTTAATTTTAAAGAGAAAAAAAATTGGTACGGGAAGTTATAGCAATTTGCCTTAAGGCACGATGCCATGCGCCCCACCAGTTTATATTTATGCTCTCAAGAATTCGAGTTCCTATTCATATATTTTTTGTAATGTTAAAACTTGAGATATTATAATACATCACTCAATAAGTCCGTAGGATTATTATTATATTTTGGTAAAATTAATATCACTTTCAATTTCCACTTAGACTCCTTTACTTCAAAATGTAGAACTCTATTTTTCTAAATTCAGTCAATAGAATCCTATAGACGAATAGATTAACGTACAGAAGATCAGAAAAACACAATAGTAAGTTCTAATTCTTTTTAAATTATTTTAATTTAAAGTAAACTATCTCTATATTGAAAACATAATTTTCTCTGTTTTGCACAGGAAAATTTACAAACAAGTTATTTTTAATTATTATTTATTATTGATTATCGTTTTTATTATTAATACTATTATTTTAATTATTATTTATTCATTCATTTATTCTATTTCTTTTCTTTAATTTCTTTTATTCTATTTTTTTTTCTTCTTGATTTTGATTTTCAATACCATAACTTTTAACTTTTAGATTGTATTGTAATCTGATTGTTAAAATTAGCAGAAATAAAAAAAAAATCTCTATATTGATATATAAAAAATATATACACGTTTCTAGCGCGATCTTTATGAATGTAGAGCTCTCTCTAGATGGCGTCAATAATATAGAGTCTAGTAACGAAGCAAACCTATACTCTACGCTACCTGTATTAGTCATGAAAATGACATTTCCAAAAATGCTTGACGTTTCCAAGCATCGTGTGTTACATATGTTTAAAAATTAATAAGATATTGGCAGACTTTTATAAATATTAATAGTGAAATAACAAACAAGCAACAATTTGGTAAAGTGAATCTGTAAATGATTATCTTGCAAAACCAACCTCAAACTCAGTGTTTACCTTGCATTTTTGGAAACAAAATATAAACAATATCTGTATATCTTTAACAATTACATAAACAAATTACTACATCTTTATGACTGATTCTACACAACTCGGAATATTAAAGGTAAGAGACAATTTTCGCAATTAGACAGTAAAATACTAAAAGTGTTAAGGGTCAGGTAAGAAGATTTAAATTAAGGGATATGGAAAATTTTTGAAAGCCTGAAGTCTATTCCCTGCTGTGAGTCACATAGTGAGAGACAGGGACCTCAGTATTTTATCAGACAGGGTTTTACAACCTTGATAGAGAATTCTTATCAGCTGATTATTGGCTGTGTGACCTTGTAAGGAAAGACTATAGATTCTCAAAGATGATATGCATACATTTATACATATACCATATATAGCTTTTCTGGATACCTAATATTATATATGATTTCATTTTTTTTAACTAAAGGTAAATAATATATATTTTTGGCAAAGCCAGAGTCTGTACTTTTATTTATGAATAAAATTCTATATTTATTTATGAATAAAATATATAGAGTAGTATAAAAATGACGCAAGTTCCAAATTATTGTTGTTTATTTAGATTTTAATGAATTGTGCAAGAGCAAATGATATAATAGTTCATACATTTTTATAGATAACTGTTAATGTAATTGTTAAAGCCGCATGTACTATCAGAGAAATGTTGTTAAATATAGATAAAAATGATAAGAAAAATCAATCCAGATATTTTTATTATATAAATACTAAATGTGTTGGTTGTATTAATGAAAGATAATAAAAATATAGTTTTTCATCGAACTACATAAAACTTTCAGTAAATAAGCTTAATTATATAAATTTAAATTAGTACGGTTTTATAATGTATTAAATTTTTATGCGTAATATTAATTGTATTCGTTTTTCATAAATCAATAATAAATTTGATGTATGATTTGTAATCATATAATTTTCTGAAAAAATGTTTGGAACTCCCATAGAATGAGCGCAATTATATAATTTTATATGAGTATCATTACAATTCATTTCTCGCTATCATGCATTTAATATTAAAGTTTATGTATGATTTATTATAACAACGATTATAAATCATTCGCGCATAAATAATTCTTATCACACCGCTTCTCAAAATTGTTCCTCACCCCTGTTGTTTAAAATGAATTCAAAACTCCTTTGATGTTAAACTGAATATCAGTGTCAGTCCAGCTATTAGTTGAGAAGGGCGGAATTTGTTGTTATCCAAATATAGAGATTCTTGGCATGAAATTATTTATGTAATTTGTATGCAATATAGAAGTTTGCTTATAAATGTTCTTTTTATATCATAGATAAATTTGCTTTATTTGTGCCTGGTAAAGAAAGTTAAAATTAAATTTTTTGTGCTCTATATGTTTGTTAAATAGCTGATTGTAAGCATCGCTGTGGTCTGTTAGAGTAATCATTTAAATCAAGGAAGAAATTGTTCGAGAATGTCAACACATTATGGGGCTATATCTACAACCAAACCACATTATAATATATCGACAAACAATGTAAGTCAAGTTTTTATGTAATTTTACTAGATTATTTGTTTGTTTGCATTTTTGGTGTCTAACCTTGAGTTTTTTTTTCACATGTGATTGCTAAATACATGTTGTATGCTCATTTAGTTTTAATAGAGTCACTTTTGTGTTGTTTTTGTAATTCGCTAAAATTTTATGTGGTATATAATTTTTAATTAGCCTTGTCATCATCCGACAAAACACAAACGGACATCTTTAAATATCTTCACCATCTTGTTTTAAATTAAATTATTTTTAAATTCTTACAAATAACAGTCTAGTTTTATTTTTTTTTTGTTCAATTTATTAATATTAATTTTCTATATTTGTCATTCGAGTCATGTATTTCCATATTTATTAATGTTTCATTGACCATTTGGAAACCCACGAAAATCTGGAATTGTTCAGAATTGTAAACAAACAATGTTATCAAAACACTAATATTAATGTTTCATTAAAATCAATAACACATATACATTTAGCGAATGTTTACATAATGCACGCATTTACACATTGTATATGCTAATACATTGAAGATTTGAAAGAATTTTTTCTACCTGGGAAAATAAATCCTCCTAGGAGGATTCCTACCGGGTAATAAATAAAGTACAAAGGATTATATTGGAACTTTTCCATTATCCTATTCAACTAGATTTCAGCCTCCCTTCAATAATAATTGGATAATAACACAGGTGTGTTTTGTGTCTATAAATATTTTAGTAAACTTAATCATCAATATGGCGAATTAATTATTAATGTTTAAATAAAAATAATAAACAATGACATATCAATTAAATGATAAAGAATGATTTGAATTCTTGACCTATTTCCTTGTTATTTTTATGTATTTAATCAGTCCTGTCGCATTGATATTCGAATGATGTTTATTTATCCCAGTTTATAATGATTTCAATTAATATATTTGCATAATTAATAAATGATGCATCTCTTTATCTAACGTAAACATTATCGAAGTCTTACATTGGGTATAATAACATTTTATATGCAAAATTCATTATAGTGGACATTTTTTGTAAAGGTAATAGAAAAATTAAACATAGCTGAATGTATCTATTTATCTAACTTTTTTTTAAATTTAATAGATTATTAGCTAAATTTTGCAATAATTTGTTTTTACTTACATTTTAATTAACTATAAGATTCTTTAGTTGGTTGTGTATCTATCTAAATGCTCAATATAATTTGTTATTAAGACTAAGAAAATAATATAAATAATAAAAAATTAACGCACTTTTATTTCATTTAATTAATTTTCTAAAAAGAATCAAATTACGTGGTTAACTACATGTTAGTCGTGTTGAAATTTATAATTTTACTAATAAATAGTTCTCAATTATTTCCACATAAATTTAATATGATTTGATCATCTTATATTTATATTTTCATCATTGAAAAAAATAATGATTTTGTTTTGTATACTCAATAATACTCAATATAATTTGTTATTAAGATTAAGAAAATAATATAATATTTATATAAACGGTTATACGCAAAGTATAAGAACACCTGTATTTTTTTAATGGTCGCTAAATATATTTTTTGTTCAAACTATTTGCAGAGTTTTGTCATGATTTGCATAATACTACAATAACGAATATTTTATTGAAAATATATTAAATAATTTTGCTTGAAACAAAAAAAACGTAGAATAGATGCTCTTTAACGATTTCAAAACAAGGATTTAGTTTACTCAATAATACTCCATATAATTTGTTATTAAGACAAAAAAGTAATATAAATGATAAAAAATTAAAGTACTTTTATTTCATTTAATTAATTTCTAAAAAAAATCAAATTATGTAGTTAACTGCATGTTATTCGTGCTAAAATTCGTTCTGATTGATGCCGGTAATTTTGTTATATTATATATAATATTACTAATAAATAGTTCTCAATTATATCCAAATAAATTTAATATGATTGGATCATATTTTATTCATATTTTCTTATAAAAAAATGACTTGGTTTTATATCATCCCTTTTGGAATTGTCTGCATGTTAGTAGAGTAAAATGCTATTTGCATGGTGAGGATGTACAAATGTTAAATTTTTAAATTGATTAATCTTTTAAGGTCTATAACACATCTGCCTATTGGGGAATATTTCGTAATGCCGGTTCCGAAAAATGCAATTGATAATGCACGAAGCATACAATGGCTTGGGAAGAATAAATAATCGTAAACGGGAGCTTTGGCATAGATAGTTTACTTTATCGCTTTATTGTTGACCAGTGTAACTTTTCCATATAATTAATCTTAAGTTACATATTTGATTTGTTTTGATACTTCCGATGGAAATTACCAGTTGTAATGCGAACGGCAAAGAATTTATCATTCATATTGCAACTCAATCATTATTATTTGATTAACGATTGTAATTATGGAAATGTATGGCCGGTTTGGCACACGCGAATTGTTATTGATATTTTGACTTCAAATTCATATTTGATAGGAATTCTGATACAGGTGGATAGAATATTTGAATTTTCTATTTAAAAAAAAATAACGATGAATCCAATGTTTTCATACAACAAGCTTTTATTGCCTAAAATCATTTTGAGGCATATGATCATGGAATTGTTACTCGATGAATCAGAACTATCAAATGAAGATCCAATTACTCAAATTACATGATTTGACTGATAATGACATCTGACACTCTAACTTTATCCCCGACCACGTGTTCGGTTTAATATTTTATCACTAGCGATGAGCTATTACATATTTAACGTCATACGAAAGGCACGTGGTATGATAATTTGTTGAACATTCCATCAGAGAAGAGAATCATGTTTCATTGCGAAAGTTCACGGTTCATAAAACAAAACATGTCATATACTTTCCATACGACTGTGACAGAACTTATCGCTTTAACTCGAATTGCGTGCAATTATTCACTTTATACTTCATAATCATACAGGATTCTTGGAATGATATGGTTTATATATAAGTCATATACATAAATTTCAATAACTATCTATTTTTCTAATGTTTTTTTATTAATTTAATACCTAAAATTAATGAATGATATACCAAATGTTTTTCGAGTCTACGGTAATAGGTATGATTTTATTTTAGATATATTTTTTTAAAAATAATCAGCCACGAAAAAGTTTGAAAATATTCGGTAAATTTCCTTCATTTATCGAAAAGATAATAATTGCATTTGGTAGCATCGAAGCTTAAGTTTGAAATTATTATTCATGATAGTTTCAACAATTCTGACCAACAATACTTTACATTTATTTGATGTGTAGTATTATTAAATTTGTAAAATGGTTTATTAAACCATGTTAATGAAAATACACATAAAATCCAAATACCAGCATTGTTATGATACGATACCCCTATAGATTAAATAAAAATTAAATTTAATTCTTGTTAATGAAAAATATAGTGCCCATCGTTATTGATTCTAATAATAAATAAATGCTAGTTTCATACGAATGAACATCCATTATAATAGTATAATGTTGCTTTATATAATAGTGAAATTTAATTTTATACGATATGGTAGCTTGAAATCCTCTACTTAAAATGGTACATTAAGGCAAAAACATTTAAAAAATTTAAAAAAATCCAAGTACATACATACATTTTATGTATTTAAAAAAAAGGTTATACGCAAAGTGGAATAAATGTGTAAATTCACATAAAAGTGTATGTAATTCTTTATTGGTCACTAAATATGCTTTTGGTAAAAATATTTAGCGAGTTTTTTTTATTAACAATGTTATATTTGAAAAAAAAGATGTTTAACGATTTTAAGAACTTTTATAGAGCTGCGCGAATGCCAATTTTATTGAAGCTTCAAATCAAAGGTAAATGAGTAGTTTTAAAATATACAATTGGTATTGAAATATATACAATCAAACAAAGACAGAAATATCAGATTTTAAACTAAATTATATTTATCAACGTTACGATATTTCTGATTTTCAATACAAAAATAATTTTATAAAATATGATTTCACCCAAATAATTAAAAAGCTTCTACTCCATTTTGTTACATATTTACTTTTATTTCTACTACATTTCATTTCCATTATCAGTATGTGAATTGTTATGAGGTTAAACGTCTGCAAAAATCGCCTGTTATCAAAATCTGTTACCAGCGTGTGATAATTAATTAAAAAATCATATTAACTGCACGCAATAACTGGTTATAATGAGAGAGTTTAGAGTTCATATCAATAAATTGTTTGATACAGACATTCTGTCCCCGATGATTCGAATTTACTGGAATCTCGGAAGAAATTTATAAAAAATTGCATGCCAACTCACAAAGTGCATTTTATATCATTTTTTATTCTATGTTATCTACAGTGCAAGCTTCTAGTAACCTCTTTAGCAATAATCTAATTTGCTCTTTTTTATTTTATCATTATATTTTAATGACTATACTAGAATTACAAAATTCATTGTCTCATAAATTAGATATAATTTCCATAACTACGCATTAATTTTTAAAAGTGAAAGAATTCTTAAATATTGTTTTTATAAAATCAAATTAGATCAAATGAGATGGAATTCCATATTAATATACCTGTGTATTTAAATTATTATTTACAATACTGCAAATGATCAAATTGTGCAAAAAGTTCATAAACATTATCGAATATAATTTTCTAAATAAATTCAGTAACCGTTCTGAATCTACTTGCTACTTTTTTCTATATTTATTTTATATATATTTGAAATGTGTCAACCAAGTTTTAAATTGAGCTTTTCAAATAAGAATCTTGACGAGTCTAATGTACTATAATAAATAAAGCTGGCTTGAATATACATGTAATTTATCAATTATTTCTATTTTTATTTTGGCAATTACAAAACTGGGTATTAACAAAAATACTATAAAATATTAGCTATGAACTACTAATCATATAATTATTATTTATATCTTTTTAATAATTAATAGATCTCTAAGTTTGTACCATTTTTTTTTTCTAAATTGAAGCAAACTACTTTTTGTACTTTTTCGAACTATGTGGAAACAGATTTTATTTGGAAAATATTAATGTTCCGATTATATTCATACATTTTATGTATAGAGCATGAATATAAATTACAGAAATAATATAAAACAGTACAGCAGTTAATCAAAAGATTTTGTTAATGGTTAAATATATAAAACATAATATAGGTTTTTGTATGAGGGATATAATACCTGTATATCGCGAAACAAACAAAAATCAGAATGATATCGTATGTGTCTCTAAATATCTTTTAAAATTCTATTTATTGATTGCGTTTCTCATAACCGAAAAATCTCTATCAAAAACAACATTGACAACAAATTAAATCTTGCGAGTTACAAATTATCTAACACTTTCCTTAATTAAAAATTCATCCGATGACATTATAAATTCAAGATAATTTTTTTATCATCAGGTCATTGTCAATGATAAACACTCAAAGCTATCACAAAGTTTGCGCACGATTATTATGAAATAAATTTAAATTTTAAAAATTTTCGTGGGTCAGTTGTAACTGAGTGTTCTGTGAGATCGTTTGCATATGCCATTATACGGATGGAATAAAGAATAATAATAACATTAACATGTGAGTTTATCGTGAAAACATGACATCATTTTTGATAAAAGTCTGTCGTTAAAATGTACATTATTCCGCTGTTTTGTTTGTTCGTGTTTTAATCTAACATAATGAAAAAATGACCCATATAGATAGAAAATAATGCATTTTTAATATTAAAAATTTAAACGAACCGCTTAATATTTTAACCAAAGCAGGAGTTAACTATTACTATTTTCAATTGTGAATAGTTTTTACGTGATAGTTACTAAAAAATAGTGCAGGTTAGTAAAAATGTAGAGGACATTTAAACGACACTATTTTAAATCCAAGTAATAATATCTTTTATTATATTGGGCACTCATATATTATTCACTTCTATTCGTCGCTATTACTTAATAACATTTTATCTGTAGTTGATTTTAACACATCTGGATCTTTAAAACCAAATCTGCACAAATTGCTTAAAAGAAATTACTATGTTCCATATATTGTTTGTAACATTCTATTGAATGTCATTAAAATAATCCAACACATCCGAAGAACTTAATTTTAGTTATTTAAAAAACGTGTTTAATATACTATCTGCTGAACTGCACAAGGTGCAGTGGGAGTTAATATTAATTATATATTCTAAATCTAAAGATTTTTAGATTTACTGGTTACTATAATAATTAAATTATTCCTATTAATATTGGGATTTGCATTAACTTTCGGTTAACGTTTTTTTTCTATGATTTTATTATAATAATCAAAAATTCCTTTACAGAGAATGAACGAAGAGCGCCAACCTCTTCTACTGGGCGGTTCAGATGCAGAGTCCATCAACCAGGACCATGTATCAGTCCCACCGAGGCCTGATATTAGATGTTCGCCAGAAAATGCGCTCCTGGACGTGGTCACCGATGATTCTTCAATCACACCTATTAGTAGATCCGGCAAAGACGTCGAAAATCCTTTGCTCAATCGAACATTGGAACATCCTACGTCCAATTTGGATACCATGATACATTTACTTAAGGCGAATATTGGTACAGGAATACTCGCCATGCCTGATGCGTTTAGGAACGCTGGCTTGGTAGTAGGTAAGATTAAAAATTTATAAAAAAAAATTAAAAATGAAAAGAATAGTGTGTCCACAATTCACAAAGCATTTTTTCAATTTTTATGAATTATTTCAGGCTTATTCGGCACTTTGTTGATGGGTTTCATATGTACACACTGTATGCACATTTTAGTGAGATGTTCGCATGAGCTTTGCAATAGATGCCAGGTACGACCAGTAATACTTATAAATTATATATTTTTTAAAAATTCATTGTCATTAACAAATTTGTCAATTCAGGTTCCCGCTCTTGGTTTCTCTGATGTCGTTTTTGTCGCTTTTCAAACTGGTCCCACTAAAATGAGGCGATATGCTCAGTTTATGAAGTAAGAATAGTAACAGAAATAATTCAATATAATTTTAAACGTTGAATAATTCTTGATAATTTTATTTTATCTTCATTTTCAGAATCCTTATCAACGTTTTCCTTTGCATAACACAGATAGGATTTTGCTGCGTCTACTTCTTATTTGTTGCCGCCAATCTTCAAGGCGTTATAGCTCACTACTACATATTACTAGATGTACACATCTATTTAATTCTTCTACTTTTACCGATGATTTTTTTGAATTGGGTTAAAAATTTAAAATACTTAACGCCTGTATCTTTATTTGCTGCGGTTTTGACTGTAATTGGTTTGGCTGTGACATTTTTCTATATGCTTCAAGATTTACCTAGTACTTCCACAGTGGCTGCGTTCGCGAGTTGGCAACAATTGCCTTTGTACTTTGGTACGGCAATTTATGCCTTTGAAGGAATTGGCGTGGTAAGTGACAATTATCACAGACTTTGAATAATATTTCAAACATATCAATTAATTGATTTGTTTCTATTCTAGATTCTTCCTTTAGAAAATAATATGCGAACACCACAAGATTTTGGAGGTTTGACAGGCGTATTGAACACATCGATGGTCATAGTAGCTTGCCTTTATACCGCAGTTGGTTATTTCGGATATTTGAAATATGGTGATGCCGTCAAACTCGGAAGCATTACCCTTAATTTGCCACCAAATGATATGTAAGCATAGAGAAAAAATCATAAAAAGAAATGATAATTTATAATATCAATATGAATAATAATGCTCTTTTATAGATTGGCACAATCAGTTCGAGTTATGATGGCTTTGGCTATTTTCTTGTCCTACGGTTTGCAGTTTTATGTACCAATGAATATTTTGTGGCCCATGGTTAGCGAACGTTTGACCACCGAACGTCATAAGCAAATTGGAGAATATGTGCTCCGGACAGGACTAGTTATTTTCACATGTAAGTATCAAAAATATTATTCTCTATTTAATTTATATAAAAGATGTTACATTTGATCGTACGTTTACCTAGAACGATTTTAGAACTTCACATTTCTTTATTCTATACTGTATTGTAATTCCGTTTTAAAAATTTATTTCGAATGTACACTATATTTCATTTTATCCGAGAGATATTTTTCTTAATCAAATGTTTCTTTTTACTAGTTTTACTAGCAGCTATCATACCCAATTTGGGTATTGTGATCTCTTTGGTTGGAGCTGTGAGCAGCTCTGCTTTAGCCATTGTGTTTCCTTCGATTATCGAAATTATCACATTCTGGCCACACAATCTTGGAAAATTCAATTGGATGCTATGGAAAGACATTGCTATCATCATTTTTGGCCTATTGGGTTTCGTATTCGGCACGTACACGAGTGTGGCCAAAATTTTCGATCCGGAAATTTAAATCCTTATAGTAAGTGATGATTTGAATGAGAATTTGATAATAATATTTATTTTAAGAGGAGATTTCATTACACATTTTTGTGTATTAGGGAAACTTATGAATGTGATGTTGCGAGTGTGATTTTTATGAATGATACTGGTTTATAATGTATTTGCAAGTTGTTATTTATTTTATTTTAGACGCTATTTTAACGCACTTTCAATGTCGATTATATATTTGTCTTCACATATATAGATTTTTATTATATATGTGTGAAGTGTGTTTCCTAAACTGTGATCATTTGTTTAAAAAATAAGTTTTTACAAATCTATATTGTTAATTTTAGACATTATGTCCTATTATAATACGTACCAAATTAGATTAGTTTCTATTAGGTGTAAATTAATTTGAAATTGGTATGAATACTAAATTATAGAATAAAAATATTTGCCTTGAAAATTAATGGATTCTTCAAATGTGATTATTCGAAACTAAAGAGATACTTGTATTGAAATTAATTATTACCTCAATTTAAGATAAAAACTATATTATTGTTATGTTTTAAATGTGAAATCGCTATAAGTAAACCGTTTAATATCCATTTGCCAAAAAATATTTATCAAAAAAACAATACATAAATAATCTAGTATTCGAAGATCCATCAGTATTTTTCATCAAACAAATATAGTTGATGAAATAGGTAATTATAATAAATAATGATTATTATTTATAATATTTAATTTTGTACAGAAGATTAATGCATGTGACATTTACGATATAATACATTAATGACTATGGATAAAATAATCTTTTAGTTTTTTGTAAAATAAGATGACAATAAGACATTTGACAATAAATTTATTGCATTTGCAAATTTAATAATAGATGTGCTATATTTATATTAAAAACTATGTGACGGTTAAAAGTTATTCAGAACACGAAGAAGTATTGAATTGATTGGTTGTAGTTTGCTAGATATAGTATCTTGTAAAATGCCAAATTGTAAAAAAGTTTTGATTTACTTACGATATTCAAAGCTACGAATCGCATGAAAATATGTTTTAGTTACAACAAGAGTACTTGCCTATATTTGGTATGTCAAATTATCTGAATTTTTTGTGACTATACGATGTATAATATCCATATATTCAAATATTTTCAGTATTTATATGATTTTATTCAAAAAGCGTGTTCTAAATAGTTACTGACCAATTTAGATAAAGATTAAAATCTATACTTAACATGTATGTAATATATAGTTGCGTGCAACAAAGCAAAAACTGTGCTTATGTAAAAAAGAAAGATATATTATTTATGTTGTAATATTTCTGTAAAAAGTGAAAATAAATGAATTTTCTATTATTCAATTTCTTTCATTTTTCAATTTTTTTTATTCCACATGCGGATTGTGTAGAAAACTGTTGGATTTTTTTTAGTATTGTTTTTATGCTATCAACTTTAACGCTTTTCAAACAGTATATGTTATCTGTTATGTGTAAAAAATATACGGAATTTTTTTAGATGTACAAATTAATTACTACAATCATGTTTTACCGTTAAACGTTATAGGCGGCCGTTTTCTTCATTTTTTTGAATCGATTTTGTTACCTCATGTGATCATAATCTTAATGCTAAACTCATGTATTTTATTTTAATATGCCTCAATGTATACATTGTACTGACTAGTATAATATAAGTAGATTTACGTCCGCAATGCGGAATGAATAGTAAACTGTAATATAATAGAAATCCATCAAAATCGATCAATATGTGATTAGGTTTGCGATAAAAGACGGGAATAAGGTGTAAGTATAGACATAAAAATGATAGTAAAAAAAATTTTTTTTAAAGGTGATTCGAGTCAAAGGATTTGTGGAAAATTTTATTGATATTGTACCGATGACGATATAATAAAAACCACCTTTTTTTAAATCTAAACAAGTGGGGCGCATGGCATCGTGCCTTAAGGCAAATTGCTGGAACTTCCCGTACCAAAAATTATTTTTTTTAAAAAGATTAACATTTTTGAAAAAAATTACTCTGAAAAAATTAGATTTTTCGAGAAACTATAAATTTTTGACAAAAATTTCACTTTTTTTTGAAAAAAAAAAATTTTCTGGAGAAAAATTTATTTTCAATTATTTTGGAAATTCAGAACATTTTTTCAAAGCAATCGTACTGCTTTAACTGCATAGAGACTAAATATCGAAGCGCGTAAGTGCCGCGTCGCCGCCTAACGGATAAACATAGGTACAGAACCCATAGGAATGTAAACAAAAATTATACTTATTATTAAAATCTCTATAAAATATCTGATAATTTGATGTGCATATGTCTAATGATCATTTTTGACCGCCAAATGGCATTTTTTTTTCTTTTTTCATTAGATCTCCGAAACCACTAGACCTGCCTTTATGAAAATTTGATCAATTCTTCATCTTGTCAATACAAGTAAAATGTTTTTTGAATTATTAAAAACGGACGCTCCGTTCTCTTAAAAACTGAGTTACCGTTTTTGGCACTTTTTGCCCCGTATCTTCGGAACGACTAGACCTGCCTTTGCCAAAAACTAATCAGCACGTCTCCTTATCAATACAAATCAAATGCTTTTTTGAATTATTTAAATCGGTTGATCGGTGTTCCCGAAATCGTCGACGAAATTTTGTATCCGAACACACACACATACACACACACAGACACATACATCCATTTTTTCTAAGGTATGCCAAAATGTTCAGAAGGTTTTGAAACGTAAAGATATATACAAATTTTCATTTTCGATTTTTTTGCGATTACTATAACTTACCCTACGGGAAGTTAATAAGGGGCCGGGTAAAAGTTGGCGATTTAAATATGTAGTTCATATCCAAAAATTATTGTTAAAATTTTTATCTAAAACGAATAAAGAGACAAAAGTTTATATTGACGTAATCTAAAAATAGACTTTTAGCGCAGGGGCATTTTATTGCATAATTAGGTTCTAAATGATCATTGTTTGTGTTATAACCGTACCCCACACTAACCTAATTTTTATAATAAGCGATTAAAAATAATAAATTTTTAAATATAAAGAATGTTAAAAAATCAAATATAATATATTTAAAAAAGTATAGAATATACTTTTTCATTGAAAGAGATGTCGCATATTTACCTAGACCAGATACGACCTAATGGGAATCACGTATAAAAAGCTAGGAACCGATAAGAGTTAATAAGATACATTTAAAGGATATTCGAAACTCATAAATAAGATACAAGTTAAAAATTTTTGATGTTTTGACCATAGTGTAAAATATTAATTATTTAAGATGAACGCCAATATATTATGAGCTTGCTGCATTGTATTATAATATGTGTATTTATTTTAAAACAGAATTAATTTGCGATATTAATTTTTACATAAATCAAATTGATATTCAGAACACCTATCTGTTAGGTCTTTTTTGAATTTTTCTATCGGTTCTACAAAAACTTTGACCATTCGAAAAAATTTTAAAAGTCGGAGGTTTCATAATCAAATATAATAATCAGATTGAAATTATTATTAGCTTTATATATTTATGTTCCATTAACCTCATCTTACAAGCCGTTGACAAATTTGAAATTTCTCGAAGTAGAGAGCGACCAAGGGAGCGAAATCGCTAATGGTCCCGAGGCGATGTCAATATCAACTATCTAGTCCGAAAACCCAATCTGCAATTTAGCCCCCTGCGAGCCCGCACTCAAGGACGCCTCTAAGTGTTTAGGCCACGTAAACCACAGCCCCTCCTCGTATATCCTATGTATGCCATCGACCCATTTATTATCATGATAACATCAAACAAATCAAAAATGTTGATGGATTCAATTATTTACTAAATGGAGTTGGAAAAGATTTTTACATGCAAGAAGTAAGCTGAGAAATTAATGAGGAATCTGAACATGCAACGAAGATATAATGAAAAATTGAAATTAATATAAAAAATCAGTTATGTATAAATGCATTTAATGTCAGTTTGCATTAAATTCTAAGTTTGCATTTAATTCTAATTAATATATTAAATTCTATTTCCTACTATTGCGTGATATTTAATATTTTAGATCAAATGGCAGTAATATCTATACTTATATTTTTTAAAACATTTTACAGATAGTGAATTCAAATTATAAAATAATCAATTTTAAACTTTTCTGCATATACAACTGTGTCAAAATTAGCAAAGTTATTATATGATAATATTGATATATTTCTTATAATTATCTTGAATAAGAAAATCTCTCATTTTATGAACTAATTTGGACAAAATTGTTCTTAGAGTTGTTTAAAACGCTGCTAAATACCTTTAGGCCATTAAATACAATTAAAACATCAATAAGTTCGAATGAAATATTTTGTTTGGCAACTGATATAATATTACTGCTACCTATAACAATATCATCGTTACTTGAACACAATTATTGTTATAATTATAAGTTTAACTCATAAATTTTTTAATATTTTTTTATAATTTAATATATTTACGTGTTTTCTCTAATATTATAATAATCACGTCTACAAGAATAGGTAAGTATATTGTTATTGTAAACCATACTAGCTTAAGGGGTATTCTAGTTTTCGAAATTCAAAAAAATCGTTTAACTATCTAAGAATATGGATACGAGAAGGTTTTTGAAAATTTGAATTATTTTTGGAGATATAGGCATTTTACTGACTCGGTCTCCATACTGGTTTGGCTTCAGGCAAAACTTTACATGCGTTTTTCTCAGAACAGACTTTTTCAGTACTGTTGACACGATTTCTCGAGTTTTAATCGACCGATTCACTTGAAATGTTCAGAGAGTCTTGTTTATAGACCTATCTATAGCCCGAACTATAATTATCCCCAAATTCTAATTTTTACCATTTTTAAAAAATTCGAGAAACTCAAAAAAAAGTAAAAAAAACACTTTTTTTCAAACAGTCGCCAATTTGTAAAAAAAATAATTTTTTTACTCATCGCTAGTTCGGGCGATTGCGACATCATTGTATATTAATAATCTTTTTATATTTTGCATTTCCGATGGCTAAGAAAGCTGAAATCATGTCAAGACTGAGGTGCTA